TTCCTCCTCTTCAGTCATATGTTTTTTAATACACTTCGGAAGCAGACGCCAAAGTATTTAATTTTTCCGGACACAACCTACAGAACGTACCGTGGACAAGTGGCCAAGTCGCCGGACCCTCCCACACCACACGACGATTTACCCCAACTCGTCCTACCGTCCTTACCCCGACACAGCAATGGGGATCGTTTTTCCCCTTAGACGTCCAAGGGTGGTAAGCTGTTCAGAGGCCCGCCGCCAACTTCTCCCGCATGTTTGGTTATGGAAATCACCGTCAGACTCATGAGCAGACCTCCAAAAATAATGAAGGCCAGACCGAGCTACGCCAAACCCCCGGCCACTTCACAATAAGAGAGGACTGTCTGGCACTCTCTTCCCGCAGGTAGCTCGATCATGTTTGTACACATTTCTTACAACCATAACTTAAACAGCCGCTGTTGATTTATCAAATATTTGAGTGTAGCATGCCGCCTCCTACGCCGTCCGCTCGCTTTTTTTCACGGCATCGGGGAAGCGGTTGGCTTGAATAGGTCGGGGAAACGCGAAGGAAGAGCTCTATTGTCGGGCCCGTGTCACTCAGGGGCGACAGGGAGACCACGGCCAGACGTCACAGCAGACGATAGAGCAGACGACACAGCAGCAGACGAGGAAGACACAGACGACGGGGTAGACGTGAGGGCGGGCAGGAGGGAGGGAGGGTGGGAGGAAGGGAGGGAGGAAAGGTTGGCAATCAGACGACTTCACCCCGGACGAGGCCCCGCCGGACTCCGACGTGCGGAGGAGGTACATGTTATTCTCCTCCTCTTCTGATCTTTCTTACTCCTCACCCCTCTCTCCTCCTCACTCCTTACCTCTCTCTCCTCACTAATTGTTCCTTGCCCCCCTTCACTACCTACTCCTCTCCCTTCACTTCTCCTCTTCCCTCACTCCCCCTCTTCCCTCTCTCCTCCATTCACCCCCCTCTCCCCACTCCTTCTCCCCTCACTCCTCACTGCTCGAGGTACCGATTATGATTATTTACAACATTGTCCCGCCCCTCCCCCGGCTTTTATTTTCACTCGGTATTTTTACGTCCTCATCGACACAGTTTAGATGATTATTTATCAGGCGGGCTTCCGACCCTACCTGCCGGGGCCAACCCGGGCTGAGACGGATACAATATTCCAACAGAAAGGCCGAGACACTAGATTAAAATTCTCCCCACTTGAGAATCGAACTCGTGTCTTCTGTATGAAACAGCAAAGCGGCTAACAACAGCTACACTTCATAAGCCGGTGTTCTCTTTCCCCATACATAGATATACAAATACATAAATTAACACTTACACAAGCACTGAAATATACACAGACACATGTACACACACACACACACACACATCCACACACACACACACACACACACACGCA